CGTGCTTCGGCCGTTTCATTTCAATGTTTTTTGTTCTACGGGTATAGTCTTTGAGAACAATCTTCCATCTGAAGAAATTTCTTTCTAAATCATCGAATTCTAAGATTCCTCTTTTCAGTTCCGCCATTGAAATTTGACATAAGTTTCCGTCTTCCGGAACGAAGTTAGGCCCTTTTTGACAGTTTCATTGATTTCTGTTGGAATGTCTACTTGATCCCATAAAGCAAATGGTTTATGTTCTTATTATTTTGATACTTGTTATGTCATGATCCATGTCATTCTTCTGATATATCTTTCTCTTAAACCTCTGTATACTCTGTTCGTCAATAATCTGACCACTTTTTTATGAATTTCATTAAGTCTTCCTGGATCATTCATGTATATTTCATTTTCTAATGCAATGAGTTCTTGTAACATTCCAAACTTTGTTTTTTGTCAATCTGATGGACTTACATAGACAATCCTTTTTAATTTTTCTTTCAATGAAGCACACTCCTTTGGAATACTGATTCTTTAAATAGACATTAGAAAGAGGAATCTTAGAATTCAATGATTTAGAAAGGGATTTCTTCAGATCGAAGATTGTTCTCAAAGACCATACTCGTAGACCGTTCAAATGAAACAGCTGAACCACGCAAAACAATGGTGAATAACAATGACTTGGTCCTAACACGAGCTGAGAAAAGTAAACATCTAGTCATCATGAAAAGACAAATTACAACAAATCTTTAGACGTTAGAAATTCGTTTCATCTCTGTCGAAAACGTTAATGTTTCCTTAATAAAACGTTTCTCGGCATCAGGTGTTGGAGGATTTATTAAATTAAGTATTCTCGTTTATAGAGATAAGATGTGCATTACATCTGCATAACTAGAGATGCAATATCGAAACGAGCATACCGATATTCTTAATTATCGAGTATTAATACCGAAAATATGATTTGTTTATTTATTTGTTTTCTTTTATTTAAACAAGAAGAGAAACTTGCTAACGTAGTGTCCAGATGTTGTTGTGACTCAAAGGTTGTTTACTTGCTAACTGTGGATGTATTAATTAGCAACGTTCGATTTATTTTTACTGCCCGAAATGCATTTTAGCACAGTACGTATCTTCATTTGAGACTTTACATTTCTAATAACATAAACTGTGTTATGTAAAGATAAAATGTGACTAAATATAAAATCAAATTCAAGTTGATTAAGTTGTATCTAAAATTACCATCAATTTTTTTCTTTTCTCCCCATGGTTTTATGTTCTGCAACTCTAACAACCTATTATTAAGATTAAATTAATTAGCCGAAAAAACCCTTTTATTTATTATTGCCGTATTCATCATATCAGAGATGACTGGAGCAAAATAAACTAAATTTTTTCCAAAATAATAGTTTTTAATTAACCGCAATCAAATTTTTATTAGAATGCATTTCAAACTTCTCATCAGCATATTTCAGACACAAAGGCCCCACATCAGCCTAATACATCCATACAGAGATGCTTGAAATGCATTCTACTAAAAATTTGATTGTGGTTAATTAAAGGCTGTTTTTTTTTTTGTAAAAATTCAGTCTATTTTGTTCCAGTCAGTCCCTGATATGATAAATGTGGCTATAATAAATTGGAGGGTTTATTGGGCTAATTAGTTTAATCTTAATTTATGTTGTGGGCTAGAAGAGTGATTTAATAACCTATTATTGTTTAAATACATTATTAGAAGTAAATAGCACAATTTCTTACATTGTTTTTGTACACAGGTTAATCACTCACAAAATCTACTGCAGCCAGCTTTAGTAGTGTGAGTTTTAGCTAAGAAAAAGGGAGAAGTGATAACTGGGCATTGCAATTGCATGGCTGGACAATCTTCCTCCCGCTCTCGTGTTGTGCTATTTTTTTTTGCCATTGCAGAAGGAATTAAAATAAGGAGCTCCCAGACATGTACTGACTGACCAAATAATTGGATTGTGCCACATGTGCCATCAATTTTTTTCTTTTCTCCCCATGGTTTGTGATGATTGTGGTTACAAACCACTAATAAACTTTACGTCAGCTGCAACTGCGAGCAAACGGCAACGCCTTGAAGAAAAAAAATATATAAAAACTTCCTCAAAGATTGTGGTTACAAACCACTACGAAAAATAAACTTTACGTCAGCTGCAACTGCGAGCAAACGGCAACGCCTTGAAGAAAAAAAATATATAAAAACTTCCTCAAAGATTGTGGTTACAAACCACTACGAAAAATAAACTTTACGTCAGCTGCAACTGCGAGCAAACGGCAACGCCTTGAAGAAAAAAAATATATAAAAACTTCAAACCACTACGAAAAATAAACTTTACGTCAGCTGCAACTGCGAGCAAACGGCAACGCCTTGAAGAAAAAAAATATATAAAAACTTTATTTGTCAAGTGATAAAACCTAGTAAGAGAGAATTTAAACAGTTTTTGAAAAAAATTTCTGTTCATAATCATAATTTTGTCAGTGATGATGCCAGGTTACTCTAATTCTTTTACAAACCATGTCAATTCATCTTTCCATAAGAACCCACTTACAACTTTATTTGATACCAAAAAAGCTGCCTTACTCTGGGATCAGCTGTTAAATCACTGCAGGACAGTATTTGAAACTTTGCATCTGACAGATGAAATTGATTTTATTAAAGAAAATACACTAGCACAGAGTAGAAGCAAGTTGTGGTTTGTGCATAGATCAGGTAGAATATCTGCTTCTGTTATGAAAAGTGTGTGGAGCAGACATACGCCAATGTATTTTACAAGAGCTAATTGTAAAAAAAATTTTCTTTCCAGCCAGCTCTACTCCCGCAAAAAGATTCAGAAAATGTATAAATTTTATAGAATAAAATACTTTGCTGTACAGCAAATTGTTTAATTTGATGTAAAAATTGCCACTTTTAAACAAAAAAATGAAAACTTAGAAAGTATTACATTATTGAATAANCACAGCCCTGATATATTCTCTAACAAAATAAAAATCATTTTTTTGCATCAATTTCTGCAGTGTTGTTTTCATCCTTTACAGCCAGAGATTCTTGCATGTTATGCTAATTATCTCAAATCGATTCCCTTCGGTTATTTTAGCCTTGGAACAAACACGCAATGTTGGAAAGACGTCTTTTACTCCCGGATAGATGTTTGAGGGTATAACATTATGCCATCAATATTTATTGTTTCGGTTGACCAGATCTCAATACACCGCAAGACCGCTACATTAGAATCTGTTAATAAACAACAACTTATATCTTTTTTTTTCGGCAAAAACCATAAAAATTCTAAAAAAATAAATTTCCCATTTCGTAAACTTTTACGGTAAATTAAACGACTTTTTTCGATTTGTTAGTTTCCTGGTTTGAGAAAACGTAACAAAACAAAATTGAATTTATCTTCTGAATAAAAAAAAAAAAACAGCTGGTAAAGGCTCTTGCAGGCTTTCCCGGGGTCCAGGAAGTGTCCGATAATTTTAAATTCTACTCCGATATAAAATTTAAACGATAATAAAAGCTTAAAAGAAGTAATTTTGTCCAATTATGAGAAATTTCTCTATTTAAAAAAAAATTAAACTTTTTGTAATAAAATCTCATAACAGATGGCGCCATACAAAATTACGTTTGGTGCCATCTGTTATGAGATTTTATTACAAAATAATTTTTATATTACTAATTATTATACAATAGCAAAAGGCTTTGTTGAGGTTAGGGGTAAGTTGAAAGAATTTTAAATGCTCGTAACGAGTAAAATGCCCATTAAGTCTGACTCCACTCGAGATACGATTCTCTACATCCCGACTTATAAGGTCCAAAACGTAATAGCATCAATGCCTCGTATATAGAAGTATTCCTGATAAATTTTAGCTTTGAAACTACAATACAGTATTATACAATTAGCGACGACCATTCGTCATAACGGAATTATCCGCAGACGTAACGGGGAGGATCGAAACGGAAAACTAATGGAGGATTGTTATTAAAGTTAAACGAGCGGAACAAATACGATTGACATTAACCGTTTATTTTGTTTAATTTAGTGGAATCGGACGATTGTAAATCAACAACTGTAGCGTAATGTCCGAGATACAAAAAAAAAAATAAAATCCATTTTCTTTGATAATTTAATAGCAAAATATTTTGGCATTACAGTGACAAGTTAGTTTTTTTTTATCATAACCCAATACTGTCAATTGGCCGTGTCACAAAAAATATTTTATATACATACAACAAACACCCCAAATAACAATTATTTACATGGCAGCATGTCGTAAGATATACATATATAAGCACTTAACAACTATATTAGTGTATATATATGTATATACATATAAATATGGAAATACTCCATGTACTAAAAATCCACCAGGTGTGGATTATAACAATTTCCATTGTCTCGTAAACATTTTCAAAGGTTATAGGTTATATAGCCTATATATATAAATGCTAAACNGCATTTAAGTTTTAAGTCATTTATTGTATGCGAGTTGACAAAACGTTAACTTACCGATCCTAGGTATGAGAATTTGAAATGCGAATTTCCATCCAATCAGAGAATAATAAAATTCGGTGTCTTTAAAACCAACGAGAATTTGCTTTCCTTTAACCAGAAATTTATACACAATATATATTATAAAAGTAATAACGAGTATCTTCCACTTGTAATTACTGGCAAAAATTTTGGTAAGAGCTTCCATACTTATTCTAATGCTCTCCATCTAGCAGAGAAATTAATTTTATTCGAATTTGTAGTTTGGATTCGTTACTGGGAAATGCCTAAATGACTGGGAAACTACCTTAATGATAACAGTCAAACACAGTTGTTTTTTTTATATATTTAATATTCTCAACTTATACAGGAAACAACGTATATCATACCCATACTTTTTCCTTATTGTTACAGTTTTGTTTTTCTTCATATTACTTGAAAACTCGACTTTATCCTTATGTAATTTAGTCGAAAAGTAATTAAAATCTTTAAAAAAGTAACATCAATGTGATTAAAACTATAATAATAATAATAATAATAATAATAATAGACATCAGTTTTATTAAATAACTAAAAAGTTTTTTTTCTATTAATAAATAGCGATATTAAATTAACCATGATTCAATGTTTGTTCTTTTTAAGATCTGTTAGATCGTAAGGGAATGCCCCGGGTAAAGTGCGTTGTCTCAGACAGAGAAAAGTCGATAAGAGACAAGAAATAATCAGAACAGATAAAAGTATTACCAGTGTGGCAGCAAAACCGGGTGTGGACATGCAAATGATGCCGCTCTCGATACGTTCCTGAGTGTAATAAATGGGAACGGTGTCGTTTGATTGTAGAGAAAATGCTAAATCTCCCGCCGACACCACCCGAATTACCCGATTAAGACCGATTTCTGTCATGTCTTGAACGTTACTATTTTTATCCAGTCGAACGTTTTTCTGATGCCCGGCAATATCACGTTCTTCACGAGGTCTTCCTGCGGGAATATATCCGTCCGGAACGTAAGAATCGTGTTGAGGAGGATGTGGATTAACGGGATGAGCACACTGTTCCGGGCATTGATATCGACAAATCTGAATGGTGCATTGAAAATGTACTTCCATCGAATCTGGAAACTTAAATGCTTGAAAATGGCCGTAAGTTAGCACCGAAGCACTCGATCCGAAATTTTTTATTTTTGTAAATCGACTCATTAATTTCGGTCTAACGATACATCCCAAGCTATCCACTAATTCGATCGGTGCTCTTTTCCCATCGTGAGCAATACAATTTCTGACTAGCATATCAAATTTATTTTCTTCGTCTTTAATCGCTAAAACCATAGTCATAGTTTGCCCGATTTTAACGATGCCGGACACCTCGCTAGCCCATGGTCCTTTACCCACCTGAACCTGCATCCAACATCCTACATTGTCTCCTGCAAAATCAGCTCTCACCACATCTAACATATCGACCGGAAATGCTCTAAATGTTACGGCTTTTTCGTATTGATCGTGCCACGTGCATCTAAGTTTTCTCGCCTGATCCCAAACTTCTTGCACTTGTGGATCGTATTGGACGATAATAGTATTTTCGAAGAAGGTTCCACTGCCACTGTGCGCTCCGTATCCGTAAAGTCCGTTTTGAGTATTTCCTAACGTACCGCAGCTATTGATCGAAACGTCGAAGAAAACGCTACTTCTACCCGATCCCGCAGGAAGATGAACGCAACTTCCGTAATTATAATGACCTTTGCTAAAGATAATACCGTGAAATGGTTTATCGAACTCGATCGCAACTTTCATTAAATTTTTTTCGCATTTCACGTCTAAATTCACTATTTTAGGCATTTCTGGCTGAGGCAACGGCCAATGATCACTACCCGGTAAATTCGGAAAACCAGGAAATTGATTGTTGTGAGGATCGTGATCGTACCAACCGTGTTCTTGTTGAGCAGCTGGAACCTGTTGTTGTTGTTGTTGTTGCGGTTGTGGTACGCCGTGATACACGGGATGAGCCTGAGATCCTTCGGCTATTAACTGAGCATCGCTATTAATTAGATTACTTTGCGATCCTTGCGAAAGTAATGAACCGTGAGCGCCTTGAGAATTTTGGATGGTTTGAAAATGCTGCTGTTGTTGTTGTTGTTGTTGCTGCTGCTGCTGTTGCTGCTGCTGTTGTTGTTGCTGTTGCTGTTGAGCAGTCAATGCGGGAATGATTACATGTCCCGACTGAATAGGTAGAGGTAAAGGAAACGGAATGGGATCTTTATTTCCAAATTTTATAGGTGGTGGTTTGGGTACGAACTGAGACTGCTGGAGAGAGTACGATTTTTCATCGAATTCCTGACCCTCTGATTTTTCATTTTCTTGATTTTCTGTTAACTGGTCAGGTTGATTGGATTCTAAAAATTCTTGCGATTCTTCCGTTGCTAAAGCCAGCTAAACAATTTTAAAAAATGTCATATAGAAATGTAAATAAATAAATATATGTATTGTATAATATATAATTAATATATATAATATATTATCTATTATCTAATTATCTAAAATAAATAAATATATATATAATATTAATTTATTTCACAGAACAAGTGTTCAAAGCCCGAAGCGATATAGGGACTGACCCGCAAAAATTATGGCCAACTTTCCTAACCGAACAGGAACTCCGGATCTAAAATTCATGCTAGTATATTAGTATATATATTAATAATTATATATATTTGCATGTAAATGTCATATAATAATTAAACTTATAAAGTTGAAAATGTGTAACGCTTACAGTGTTACAGATTTTAAATACGACAGAGAAGTTTCATATAAAAATACGTATTTCGCTTTATATTAAAAACGAATTGTGTTCTTTGCCCACAGATTCCATTAATTTAGTCAGATTTTAACATATTAAAACAATAAACCGAGCTTGAGTTTGATGGTATCGACCAACACCATTTGCCCCTCTGCCCTAATAATGCAAATACTCTCATTTAAATTCTAAACGAATTTACTTTAATTATGAGAAATTAATTTATTAATTAACGATAGAGAATAATTTAATTAATTTAAAAATGTGAATGTTATTTGAACTTTTTGGCCAAATATAATTCGATATTTAGACAATTTACGCTTATAAAAATCCCAGATTAGTTTATAAAACCGAGAGAAACAATTGTTAATTTACGAAGTGTTTTAGAATGCAACCGTTTAGAGCCCGGAGCGATATCAAGACTGACCCGCAAAAATTGTGGCCAACTTTCCTAACCGAACAGGAACCCCGGATCTAATATGAATGCCGGTAAATGCGGAAGAAGCTCCAGTTGCCCCGCAGAAAAGCGCATGCCTACCGAAACCGGATACTAACGGAGCGGTTCCCTTGACATCGATAGGATCTTTTTGCCCCCCTTTCTCTTATTCTGCACCAGCTTTCGATGTAGAGGTGAAGGTTATTCTATCTACCCTTAGGCAGCGGTAGGTCTCGTCTCGCGTTACAAAGCGTTACCTCGTTCGCCTTGTTCCGGTATAATACTATCCGGAGAAGCAAAAATAAAGGAAACGGCGATATTTGCTCATTTTACAAAAATAATTCCGTGTTTTGAATAAGTAATTATCTCGACATCGTTTCCTCACTTAATAAATACCGATCGGGCAATTCCATAAGTAATTATTTCTTAATTTTTTTAAATAAAATTATCCAAGAAGAGTAGACCCCCCCTCTATAACACTGTTGATAATTCCGTTTTATATGAATTCCGTGTTGTACGAGTCACTTAGATTTTACAAATACGTGAGCCGTTCACAGCCCGGCACATATATTTGTGAAATTTAAGTGACTCGTACAACACGGAATTCATATAAAACGGAATTATCAACAGTGTTATAGGGGTTGTCTACTGTAAATTACAAATTTTTCTGGCAGAAAAAATGTTATTAAAATTACAATTTAGAAACAAATTAGATCTTCCGATAGTGCGATTACTCCATTAAAAATGGCGGGTATACGGGTAAGGCGGTAATATAAAATAAGCAGTGGAAATGATAATTTTTTTTTTGTTACCGGGATAAACGATAGTCAATCGCCTGTTTACGAAAAGTGGCTCACTTAGGAGTAAACAGTTTTTGCTAACTGCCGGAGAAGTTTCTTCGGTCACATCGCCGGGGTCGTCGACCTGTCGAGCATAACACACTGGCCTCGAGCATCGGCAACCAGATGCCCGTCCCTCTAACCTACTAGATTAGGATTGTCGGACTGCCGGCTCGTTAAGTTCATTTTGCAATTTAAATCGATATTTATAGTCGACATTCGCCTCCTTAAAAAATTAACCTTCAAAATATAAGCAAAGATCCGTTATTACTTTAATTGGACTTACCCTACTACACAATAGGATAAATACGGGAAATAAATAAATTCTCCTTTTCTCTCCGCACCACATATCTGACTTTCCTAAAATAAAAAGCGACAATAATAAGGAAAAATTCGTTACAAAGGAGTATTATTAATATTTTTAAATTAATATTCAATTTTTAAGAATTATTTTAACTATATATAGCCTATATTAATCCACAAACAGTACGTTAAACACGTAAATATCGGCTATTTGTTATTTTTTTCCTCACTTCTTACGTCATCCAGTAGCGGAAGTATACTTAGTTTTACAAATAAGACCTTATAGAATGTAAAANTTATAACAGTTTAATAATCAATTTAAACTAACTGTTTTTTTTATTAAAAACAATATGTAATTTATTAAAAAGTTGTTTCTATCAAAAACACATTTATCATCATTTTAAAAATTTGTATGTAAAGTCTGTGAAGAAAATCAATTTTTTAAAATTTCATCTAGTAATATTCTCGACTGCGTTCGCTATATACAGTTTAGATGCGATTAGGTTAGAGAAACTATGTATTTTAGCCTAAAGAGGGCGATGGGCATTGTCCACTATCACGTGATCAGCTACTATTCGGTTAGCGTAAGAATGAATAAGAGGGAAAAGAAAGAACGCCAAATTTCGAAGATTATTTTGCTGTAAAAATACATCGAATCGTAACGTTACACACATCAATATATAAAAGAAATGACAATAATTATAGGAAATCGTACAGTTTGGACAGGTAGGTGTCGATTTTAAAGGGACCTAGTAAGTGATAGTGCACCTAACGAAATGCAGATGGCGCTTTAAAGAACTATAAATAGGGAAGATTCTCTGTGGGTCGTTGTAGTACAGGGAAATGTCGGCGTCGGACGACGAGACGCGTGTGGGGCATTCGGCCGATAGCGGTCCTCTGAGAAGCGAAGAAGCGGCGTTTTTGAACATTCCGGATGACGTGGACGACTTCCATCGCCGCTATCAATCTCCTCTGACGTCGAGATACGCCAGTCAGGAAATGGCCTACAACTTCAGCGACCATCGGAAATTCTCCACCTGGAGGCGACTCTGGATCATTCTGGCCAAAGCCGAGCAGGTAGGACCAACCGGTTAAATTTTCCCTAATTCCTTCCTTAAGCGTTTTGTGGCGCCCTGTCGGAACCGTTCGGAGCGACGCTGGGGTCAAGTCTAACCGGCGCGATAGTTCGGATGGCCCGGCGGTATGGTACAATTGCTGACACGAACGACGCCGTTGGGACCGGAACGGTGCCCTAGAGCAGTTTTCCGCAATCTTTTGGCACACCCGTGACTCAACATGGCACACCAAAATGTTATTCCCCTCAAAAACATATGTGATATGATACTATTAATAGAATTGCAATCCATTAACCTATTATTATCATTTTTATTAAACAGACATCAACATCTGTGAGGAAATTAATTTTACATATAATTTTTTAGAATACATAAAAATGCGTGGCTTGTAATAAAGAATAAACAAACGTCATCTTATTTCATCAGTGCCGCGGCAGAGAATGAAATAAAAGCACCAAATAACGCAACAACGGTGATAAAAATATATAAATAAAACTTGAAATTAACAGAATATGTGAAAGTCCACGTCGCACCTTTCACCGCGTGATGGCACACCGGTCATTGTTCGAAGTACAGTTAAGGTTTTAACGAAGTTCGAGCGAATACGTAATTAGCAAAAAAAAGTTGAAATAAAGAGATTAAACAAAAATTATTACAAATATCGTAAATAACAGTTCACAAATGCATATATAGAGATATTTTTTG